CCGGTGGGTGCCCGCGAGTGCGGGGGTCCCTTACCATGCCCTCCATGCCGTGGGGAAGCAGCAGGACGATGCCGTTCTGCCTGACCCACTTGGCCTGCCCGGGACAGATGAACTGGTCGATGATGCACTGAGCGGTGTTGTGGAAGTCCCCGAACTGGGCTTCCCAAAGCACCAGGGCGTTGGGGCTGGCCATGGCGAAGCCCAGCTCGAATCCTGAGGGACAGGAGAAAAGCGAGAGGGTTACGCTCCCGGAGGGGCCTCATTCCCCCGGGCGATGGGCACAGAGCTCCTCGCTCACCCAGGACGCCGTACTCCGACAGGGAGCTGTTGCAGACGGTGTAAGGAGCCTGGTTGGGCCAGAGGTGGTTCATGGGAATGCAGGTCCTCTTGTCCACATTCTGGTCATGCAGGACGTGGTGACGATGGCTGGAAGAGAGGAAAGCGTTACTCAAGTGTCACCCTTCGGATCCCTTCCGGAAAGGCCAGAATCGCCTTTACGGCCACCAAAAGCACGGCTCTACCTGAACGTCCCCCTCTCCACGTCCTGGCCGCTCAGGCGGATGTGGATGCCCTCTTTGAGCAGGGAGCCGAATGCCATGTACTCTGCCAGGGCCCAGTCCACCGTCCGGTTCTTCACCATCTCCCCCCGGGTTTTCAGAATACGGCTCAAACCTGCCAGCACAGAAGATGGATCGTAGCCAGTGAGAGAGAGCGCTCCAGCAACACCATGTTTGTCCCACAACCTGCCCAGGGACTGACAGACTACGAATGCTTGGCGGCAGGGAATCCAGCAACAGATCCACCTCTTCTCCAGGGATGAACAAGGGACAAGGACTCAGGACTGCAGGGAAGGATCAGCTCCGAAGAAGAGCTGCTCCTTGGTTCACCTCCCTTAACCACAGCTCCCTCTTCTCATCGACTCCCAGAAGGGTCTGGGTTGGAAAGGACCTTCAAAAGTCAACTAGTCCAACCCCCCTGCCACGGGCAGGGACACCCTCCACTACACCAGGTTGCCCAAAGCCCCATCCACCCTGGCCTTGAACACTTCCGGGGATGGAACAGCCACAGCTTCTCTGGAAAACCTGTCCCAGTGTCTCAACACCCTCCTCATGTCCAATCTAAACTCCTGCTCTTCCTGTTTAAAACCCTTGCCCCTTCTCCAGGGTTTTTTACCAGGATTACTGCAGAATCTGGTAAAAAAAAAAAAATCTCCATGCCTTTCTTTATATACGGAAAGGCCACAGTAAGGTCTCCCCGGAGCCTTCTCTTCTCCAGGTTGAACCACCCCAACTCTCTCTGCCTTTCTGCACAGGAGAGCTGTTCCAGCCCTTGGATCATTTTTGTGGCCTCTAACAGGTCCATGTCTTTCTTGTGCTGGGGACCCCAGAGCTGGACACAGGGC